TTTTGTCATCTGACCTCACGTTGGGACTGAAGTCTCTGAACCTCCCTCGATGTCTGCCCTGCTCCTCTGTCCTCCAGGCCACCCCCCCCTCTCTCTGTTGGTGGTCTGAGTGAGACCTTGGCGTTGGTGGCAATATTTCCCTCACCAACTGCGGAGGTGATGGGGATGACCCTCCCGTGTTTTCAAAACTCTCAAAATGTTCTTGAAACCCTCTTCTGGAATGATGCAGAGAAAGCCCCTGCTCATCAAAGCCCATCATGTCATGATGCAGGGATGCCCTCCCATGGTAAAGTTCCTCCTGGTCTGGATGATGTTGATGCCCAGACAGATACTCGTCTGGGAAAGGAAATGATCTTCTCTGGCCCCCTGGGTACATGCTTTCACTGAAGTAGTGTTCTTCAAGGTCTTCTCTGAGGCGGTGGCTCCTCTCAAATTCATTCCTGTCCAGCTGTGCAACAAGTCTGTAAGGATCAAAGTCAGATTCCTCCCATGGCAACCTCCTGAAGGAAAAAAAAAGCAAAAACACTTGTCACCACTTTTAACACAAAGATCAGCCTCAACAAACATTTTCATTATACTTTTCAATGACACTGAATCTGACCTTAGGAGAACTGGTCTCATGACATTCAGATACTGATATCTCAATTTTTACTCGAGGTTTTTGAAAAACTACACCCAAGTATTTGTGATTTCACTTGTAATTACTTTTCATAATGTAAAACTGCTGAAATGTTCTGTCTCTGTCGATATTTAAACTGTACAGCCTATGTATTTCTTGTACACGTCTCTCTGGATAAGCCTCTTTGTTTAAAGGATTAAATAAAATTATTTCTTGGTTTTAAGTTACACAAATCTTGTCAGACAACTATGAAAATGAAATAAAGGCTGTCTTCTTCTTTTGGCTGTTTCCGTTAGGGGTTGCCACAACGAATCATCTGTTTCCACCTAACTCTATCCTCGGCATCCTCTACTCTCACCCCAATTAACTTCATGTCCTCTTTTAGCACATCCATATATCTCCTCTTTGGCCTTCCTCTTGACCTCTTGCCTGGCAGCTCCATCTCCAACATCCTTCTACCAATATAACCACTATCCCTTCTCTGCACATGTCCAAACCATCTCAATCTGGCCTGTCTGACCTTGTCCCCAAAACAGCCGACCTGAGCTGTCCCTCTGATGTGATCATTCCTAATCCTGTCCATCCTGGTCACTCCTAAACAGAACCTCAACATCCTCATCTCTGCTACCTCCATCTCTGCCTCTTGTCTTTTCCTCACTGCTACAGTCTCTAACCCATACAGCATAGCTGGTCTCACTACTGTCTTGTAGCCACATTAAAATGAAATAAAGGCTGTGATTTTACCTACAACGTGGAGATTGTGATCGTGGTCTTGACATTGTCAACCTCGAGGAAAAAGAGAGTTTTTCATTATAATTGGAACTAGCACTGCAGGTAAAACACAGTGAAGCACAGTACAGACAATTACACTTCACTTAATTAGGTGAACAATGAGAACTGTTATTTTACAAAATATGACTAACAATTGACTAAACTGGCTTGAGTCAACAAAGACAAGAGTCTGCCAAAATTTATTCAAAATCTTCTGCTATTCATACCTAGACTTCTCTACATTTCAGAGGTAAATATTGTACTTTTCACAACAGCCAAAGTATAAAAATAAAAATTAATTACCAAGACATTTACTGATGTTTGTGTCACATTTCTGTCAGTATTTTCTATTCTATATATAGAAATAAGCCAAAATAATATGATTAATCATTTAACACGACCTAGGTGAGTAGCAACAACTGAATGAGTGGATTCACTCATTAAAAAATACATTCGACATCCATGTGAACATTTTATAAAGTCTTGAATAAGCCGTTTTTTTTTTTTTCCCTAAAAAAAAAAAATCACATTTCTTAAATACGTTACTGCTACCAACCGGCTACAAAAATATTTAAATCCTTTATAAACAACACTGTAAATACTTTCTAAAGCCTTTATTAAGAACTGAAAGAAGTGTTTTTTAAGCAGTGAAGATCTGCAGATATACTGATCAAATTGCGTTTCAACACCTTTGCACACGCATTAAGAAAGCACATGAGCTAACTTTGGTTTTAGCCTTAATCTCTACAATCTGCTTCCTACACACTTTGATGTGAGGAACATATTAGACAACGTTATTGCACTACCTTCCCAAAACCTGTCAAATATTTAAAAAGATGCCCGTGTGAATATGCCATCTTGTGGCCGGCTAATGCTAATGCTAACCTTCTGCTGCTTACGTCACACAGTTGTCTTACCTCCGTCCACCATTCAAGTCAGGCTAACGCGGCTAACGTTAGCTAAGGCGAGGATAAAGCGGGAATGGCAATATAACTATCTTTAACTTTACGGTATGATTCCGTTTAACGCAAGATATGATAACCTGTTAAATGTGGTGTGCTTCCCCTAAAGTCAAACAATCGTTGAACTCATGTTAACGTTGCAATTTTCATAGATCGCTAAACGCAAGAAACGATCGCGGCACTTCCACCACAGACCAGGCCCTGCCCTGCTGCTGCTCCTGCTGCTGCTGCTGCTGCTTCTTCTTCTTCTTCTTCTTCCTCCATCTCCTTCTTGGTGCATCCGGTACCCTTGTTGTTGCGGTGCTGCCCCCTTTGGATTATTATGATGATGACGGTGGTGGTGGTGGTGGTGATGATGATGATGATGATGATGATCAGTATTATTATTATTAGTAGTATTAACTTTAAACACAATAGCCATATCAGTCTTCTTCCCTCTCCCCCCCAACAACTAAAAACATTATTTCTGTCAAAGCCTTTTTGTTAAGCAATTGTACATGTTTTGGAAGTAATTTTGTATTTTTATGGTAATTTTTTGCTTGTTTAAAGTAAATTTACATCCTTTCTTAGCTATTTTATGCTTTTAAAGTAATTCTGTGTCTTTTGTGGTAATTTTTCATGACTTTAGGATTATTTTTCTTTTTGTGGTTATTTTTCATTTCTTTCGTGTCTCTGTTTTTGTTTTGTATTTTGGCTGAACTTGATGATTGTTTAGCAGAAATCTGCACACTTCCTGGAGATTACAGCCCAATTTAACCTAAATACCTCTCCCATTCCTGAAGCCCATCACCCAGTAAAACCTTTCCCTCTGTTCACTTTAAGTGTATCTTAATCGGAAAAAATTATCCATTATGTGTCTTATGTTCCTGACCTTTTAAAAAAGTACAGCTAGTTTTGTCAGTGTAGGCTAAACGTTTGTTTACAAATTCTTTATAAAATGATGACAATGCAACATAAATCATGAACTAATTTTCTTGTGTTTACCTAACATAGTATCATATGCATACCCAAGGTTTTGACAATATTCCCAGTGTTAAATTGCAGAATCTCTATTTCATTCTACCATTAGTGTGAATACTGACTATCTGGCACCATTCTTCTCCAGAGTGCAAGAAGAGAACAGAATCTGAAATTGTTCAGATTGTTTTAATCATTATAAGCCCAGTAATTATTACCGTATTGTTGGTGTCAACACTGGAGCTTTCCACCCTTCTGCAGGTATAAACAATTGTTCAGGTTATTCCTAATGTTGGTTATGAAGTAGGTTTTATTTTGAAAGCTGAGAGGCTAGACAAGAATTTGTGCTCTGTTCTCAATAATATAAATAACTGAATATCTTCAAGGTAACAGGAGCAGAGAAAAGTCATTCACTATTTTGCAGATCAGATTTAATTTCAGTGCAGCATACAGTCAACACACAATGAGATATAATGGTAAAATAAAAGCATCTGCATGAAGCCCTACAATAGATTTTTCATTTCAGATGTCACTTGTCATGAATGTAAAAGACTAAATGTGCCATACAGTTTTGAAACTTCATTTCCCTTCAATCTGTGACCAAGGTGTTTGTGTATTTATCCAGCTCACTGACACAAATGACATGATGAAGTTTATTGTTTGTCAGCAGTTATCCATGCACCACATCTATAATGATATATTCCATCAAGCTGCAGTGTCACAGAGTTGCAATAATATTAGGATAAATATTATGTCCTTTATTTTTACTTAATATACAAGGGGAGCCAGGAGACCCTCTTATAACGAGTTTCAGCAGAATCTGTGTGAAGTGAGGAAAGCCAACAGGAGTGTGAAAACACAAAACAACGCTATGAAGGTTGCAGTACTAACGGAGAAACACTTGTCTCCCCTCAGTGTTACATGTGGAGCAGCAGCAGGTCTCCTTTTCTCGTCAAGAAACATTTTCAAGAGCTCACTTTGCACCTGTATCTAATTTTGGTTCTCTGACAAAGTCCCTTTAGCTACGGTCGTATTAACCCCCTCTGGAGAACCTCGAGCAAAAACATGCTGCTGGCCCTCAGTGAAACTCTGCTTCACCAACACCACCATCTCTTTTTGCTTTGTGTCGTTTTAAACAGACTAATATAATTTCACACAATGTAAAACTAAATAAAGACGGTGCTACAGTGGAGCACACTGAGGTCACGTCCTCAGTGTTATCTCTGGAAATTTACAAGCTTCTAATGGCATCTTAAACATCTTTGGTGGTTAATGGAGGGTTCTAACATTTTTTGTCAGACAATGTAGGGAGATGAAATGTACAAATTACATGTAAATGAACAAATGACTAAATATAGTGTGACTTTACAATCTATATTACAGATGTGGTTTTCAGGCTAACTGTAGTATTTGACTTCATTTGAACTGTTTTGCCAAAATAACTAACTAAAGGTATATTGTATTGCAACCAGATTAACACACCTAATGTAGCGTGACAGCATTTACAAAAACTATAATGAGACACTACATAATCTATGTAATAAATGTTTAGATTTTAAAGGCTTGTGCTTCAGAATCTATAATGTTTCTAATGATTTAGGTACCAACTAAATAAATGAAAATATGAAACTAAAAGAATTTCTCCACCACATTAATGTACCTGGCATCAGACCACAGTGTAGGCAAGGTAAATGTGAATAATCAAAATGTGATATATTTTTTTAAATAATAGGAACTTTTTACTGGGTTTAGCTGGTGGCTGATGAAAAAACACTACAGGCTATTAGCATCCTCCACCAGAAATAAATATCTGTCACCAAACCTTAATGTATGGAGTTAAAGACTACAAAAATATAATAAACAGTGGTACAGAATGTGATTTTTCCTTAAACCTTCAGGAATGTGTATAGAGTTTGGTTGGTGGTTGAGATTCTCTTCGGGGAATTTAGCCTTATTACATCAGTGTTGCTAAAATCCTGATCATCCACACAGTGAACATGGGGCTTTTGAGGCCCCTGCTGGTCGGTGGCCCCGGGGCAGTTGCATGCCATACACTAGTGGCAATTCAATGTTCGCATAATAACTATTTTCCTGCACTTCCTTCTGATCTGTATTATCAGATGCAGCCAAAAAGCAAACAGACTTTCTCAACAGAT